CAGGGGCAAAAGGATCCAGAGTCAGGCATCTTTGAAAGGGATTTCCAGATCCAGGATGTGATCTGAGAGCCAAGCTGGCGAGGAACAGGCAGGGGAGTGATGAACCGTTGGATGGAGAAAGCATTTAAAGACACAAAAATTTTAACCAGGAGTATCTTTTTATTGTTTTTGTTTTTGATCAATGTTTTCATCTTTAAAATAAAGGTCGGGTCAATGTGATTTCAACAATGTCAGGCTCTAAAGTTCTGAGACTAGAGATTGTAATTTGCTCAAAATGACAAAACTAATTCTTGATAGCTAGAATCTTGGCATTTAGACTCAGAAATTGCTGAGCGGTAAGGGTCCTCATAAATTATCTGTATCAGAGACTTTGAAATTGTAGGCTGCCTGTCATTAGTTGGCTGTGCAACTAGAGGTCAAGCTTAGTTTTCTTAATTAAATAGGGAAGGTCAAGCCTAGTTTTTTAATTAAATAGAGAAGACTAAAATTTTAAAGTATCAGTGTACACCATAGGCAGGGAGATTATCAGTTCATGAGATTTATATAAATGTCCTTTCAGGCATCAGTTTTCATACATTCCACAAACGAGGTGGATGCACGGCGTAGGCAGCACCCGGGCAGAGTCTCTGCTTTGTTAGTTCTCAGCCACCAAAAGGTAACCAGAGGTGGCCCACAGCCTCACCTGTAGCACCTCCCCTCACTCACCATTTCATTGTAATAAACATTACAGAGTGCCAGACACTGTTGTAAGCACGTTATATTAATTACCTCGCTGAATCCTCACCACATTCAAGTGTGGTTATTATCCTTATTTTACAAATGAGGAAACTGGGGCGCAGAGAGGTTAAGCCACTGGGCCAAAGTTCATGGACTGGAGGAGCTGGGGCCGAGCTCAGACCTGCCAAGCTGTGCTTCCGCTCACAGAACTCCTTTCCTGGACCAGATGGTGGTACCTCTCCCTGCACAGCTACCATCTGGCCACCTCTAGGGGGCCACTCTGGCAGCAGCCTGGAGGCATCTTGTCTTCAGGTGGGGAGACAAGACCTTACAGGACCCGCATTCTCTCCCCAGCACTAAGCCAGAGCCCCTGGGTTCAGCCTGCGCGCCAGGGCCACAGCCATGCCCTGTGCGCGGAACACCCGGGCTGCAGTTCCCCCTTTGCATGTACCCTCACCGCACCTCTTCCACGATGCCCTCTGCAATCACCCCGATTGAGACACCATGCCCATCATTCTCTATCCTGGTGAACTCTTCTTATCTCTTCACTATCTACAAATAGAGTATACACTGAGTGAGCAAGAGTTCAGAAGAAAGGGGCTGAATAATATTAAAGGCAAAATTCAATCCCTTTTCTCCCATTAGACATAACACAATTGACTTGCCATCTATTCTTGCAAAGGTCAAACCACTCGAGTTCACCCATATTCAACAGCTAGCACGGTGTAAGAGTTTGGGGTCTTCAAGGTGAAAAAAAAAAAAAGGAAAGAAAGAAAGAAACAAGAGAGGAGGCCCTCACAGATGGGCAGTAAAGTTTCTCTGAGACAGCAAATAAGTTCACAATGAGTTTAATTGGACTCCACAGTTTGTCTCTGGTCTGAGCTTCTCTTCTGCTTTGTCAGTATTCCTTGCTTGTCTCTATGTCTGAGGACTTCAAACACAGTGTGCTCACCAGGAAAATGAAGCCATTTTAAAGCACTAGCTCTACCTTGACTTGAGGACTCAGTGAGTGACAGATTTTACACAGACCATGCAGGAGGATGAGCTCTTATTCTCCAAGGGCTCTGCACCATGGGGTGAAACAGCACACGCATCTGAGTATGAGGGGAGAGGAGTAGTTGGCACCAAGTGCCACAAGGATAGGGTGAGACCCATTAGTGAGAAGACAGGAAGGGGTGAAGCAGCAGAATCAAAGAGTCTGCAGAGGTGCCCCATCCCTCAACGCTGCCCGGCCCCTCAGAGTGCCTTGAGACTGACCTCTATGACTGTGGCACCTGCTGGGGAGGAAGGGAAGGTCCACAGAGCCTCTGCCCATTGGAAAAGGGAAGTCACATGAGTGAACGTGACCTTCCTTTACAAGTAACCGTAGAAGGTGCAGTGCCCTGCAAAGAGTCTGACACGTGCGAGATCTCTGCAACAGGAGAAGGCAGAGCTGGCGAGCAGTCCACTTCTGGTCATCAGGCCAGGCACACACGAAGGGTTTATGTGACAGAGAAGGGTGTCTTTACACTCCTGTGCCTTTTCAAATGTTCCCTACTAGCCTGGATTGCTTACTTCTTCTGAGCACGATCTGGGTCAGGTCTGCGAGCGCTTGCTGGTCCAACACTACAAGAGGTTTCGTGCTCTCAGGGAGAAGACCCGGGTGCTTGGTGAGGCCAGCTCAGTAGTAAACACTGCCCACTCCTCATTCTGAGGATAGGTAACACTCTGAAAGGACTACCTGCAACAAGCCCTCAATTACTTATCAATGGGTTCTTCCCTTAGAAAATACCCATCAGATAGGAGGAAACAGAGACACAGCAAATAAATTCAGATGTTTTATTCTGTAAAGCACATGTGCACACATTTCAAACGTGGAAAATTAATCTGGGAGTGAATGCCATAACAGATCAGCTACTGACCATCATGCAGCAGGATAAGTGAAATGGATCCGCTGGCCCTCGTAACCCCACAGTGCCTGCAGGAGGGTTGAAAAACCAGGACGCTGAATCCCTACAGACTGCCAAAGAAAAACGCAACAGAAACGGCAGGTTCCTAATGATGAGAAAAACTTACAAATAGAATCAAAACTGATTCAAGTCATACAGTGAAAAGACAAAAGGAAAAAGGAAAGAGATCAATATGATCTGAAACAACCACTTTAATATTAAGTTGCTGACCTTTTATTGGACCTCCAGTCCAAGATGCCTGAGGACGAGCCAGTGCTCCTGTGCAGGGTCACCCCAGAATGGCAAACGGGCCCTGCCCGTGACACTCTTCTAATCCTGAGGGCCCCCCAGCTAGACACCGCACAGCACCGGGACGTGCCGGTAAGTGCCCCACAAGCATCAGGTCCCCTGGGCTTCCTGAGATCCAGTGGAAGTCTCTTCAGGTGCTAGACCTCTTCACCCAGCCAGGTACAAGGCCTCCCCTCCGCCCCCGCCTTTCTTTATATACCTATTGACTCTGGGTTTCCATAAGACCTTTGACAACTACCTTCTAGGGTAAATGCTGGATTTTAAAGTGTGTGTCCTGGCCTCGTAACAAGTCATACTGTCCAGGCATTTTTGGCACTTCCTTTCCTCACACCTAACAGTGTCCTGCCTCCCCTGGTTGCAGATTCCAGCCACTCCTTATAATTAAAACAAGGGTAATTAATATTAGCAACAGGCTAGATTGAATAAACCAGTGAAACTGACTTCTTCCACTTGTCCTCTTTATATTAACTCTCCCAGTTATAACTCTATCCCTAGAATTCTGTTCATTGGGATTTTATTAATTCAGTAGCAGCTTAACCTAAAATCTGTTGGTTTTAATGATAGTGATTAAGGCCAAGCCAAAAGTCTCTCAATTTATCCCGTAAGAGCCTCAAAGTCTCCAAAAAGAAAACTAAACTAACAGGTTAGCCATGTATCATGTAAGCAACTCATGTCATACAAATAACTGGATAGGCAAGTACAATTGTTGTGCTTAAAATGTACTAAAAGGAAAAAAAAATGTATTAACATATCAAGTTACTACAGTGATTATTTTAACAATCTTTAGTAAAAGCCCAAAATGGTTTTCCATTCAAGAATGCCTGGGATAAAATGTTGTAGGCCAATCTATATTTCATACTGTAGGGCTGATTCTACTTTAGAACACACTACACAGATCGGGAACTAAGGGAAAGGAGTGCTGACAGTCATGCCTGAGGTTTTACTTGCCCTTCTGCTGTAACATTGTGTGTGAGAACACAGAAGCCATTAATGTCTATGAGGCTAAGAGCTATTACGAAAAACAGCAAGAATACAAGTAACAAAAAAAGGACCAGAAAAGACAACACAATTTTTTTTTTAAATGAAAAGGAATTAGAAGGAAAAAGAGGCAAAGGAACTAGCTCATCAAATGTCAAAGGAAAGAAAATGCTTTAGATTTTTCTGATAAATGGCAAATTGGAATTGTCTTCATTCAAATTTCACAGCCATCATTTTCATGTTATGATCTACTAGTTGCCATTTTCCTTCTGAAGATTTGTTACTGCGTAGAAATGTTTTTTAAAAAGGAGGAAAGAAAGAAAAACCACTCACTTCAATAAAACAAGAAATCCTTTTATAACTATTAGACCAAATCATCATCATCTTTTCCTGTACTATCATCTGCATTCCAGAAAATACAACAGCTAATTTTTACTCCACTCTTGAGACATGTACTTAATTTTTAAGCCCTTTTAAATGAGGAAGCTGCTCTAACTTTTATAATGGAGGGAGGGGACAACAGAGGAGAAAAAGACAGTGCAACTTGCTGTGCCTACTCAACTCCACAAGACCAGGTTCCTCACCACCTCTGTGGGAAATGAAACTTAGATCTTTACCATGAAGGTGACTTGGAAATATTGACCTTTTCACTCAAGATGAAAGCACAAGTCTGTCTTAACTAGAGTAGTTTTAAAATGTGACTATTTTTTTTCAAAGAAAAAAAAGAAAACTTAGAAATATAGGTATGTTTCCTTGCAAGCAAAATGGAGAAAAGGGTATTGTTGTTACTATCATTATTTAGCCACAGACACATGAAATCCACAAAATGGATCGGTGGCTTGGGAAATGCAATATCATGTCAAAAGTGCAGACTGTTTCGAACCAACGCAAACCTCACCCCACCAGCAATGACCTGCCCCTGAGATCTCGGTAAAGACCGCACGGCCTGCTCTGAGCCAGGAAGATCAGGCAGCGTTGCTGGCGCTACACAGAATCACCCCAAGTCCACCAGGGAGGCTGCAGGGTTCAGATTGCACCCAGTGTGAAGCACGTGCATCATTGAACCAATTTTTGAATAGAATAGGTTTTTTATAAATATATACAAATCAGTTACAGGCACTTGAAATGTCTTTGGCTGGAATAACCCAACATTGCAAGAAAATGTATTCACAGAGTGTCCAGGCCCAGGCTGGCGTCAGCAGGCAATGATTACGGTTGCTCAGTCCCTCTCAGAAAATGGGCAGTTGTGGGATTAGGCATCAGCCAAAGCCACCTAGAAGAGAGCAAGACAAGCAAGCCAGTCACACAACAGAGCCCAGGAAGCCCAGTCCCAGCACCAACTGGGCTCAGGTCCCCACCTAAGACCAGGGAGCCACACTGCAGGCATCTGTGTGGGAAGGGAATTATTAGAGCCCTAAGGGAAAAAACATCTCACCTAGGTGGGAATGAATAGCAATTTAAAAGGCTCCTGACAGAAATGGCTGATTTAGTGGAACCACTGTGCTGTGATCAAGAGTTAACTGTTTTTGAACCCTGAAGAGCACTCTGTGGGGTGATTTCTCAAGCTGTTGGAAGTGGAGGGGAGGCAGTTCTCCAGGGGAAGCTGCTCTCCAGTAGGATCTGAGAACGATCCGCACAGTCAGTACCTTTTACAGCCCAACACCACAATGTAGGCTGAGGATAGACCACATCTGATAAAAAAGACGGGAGCTAATTTCTCTGGAGGAAAGCAGACATTCACCATCAATGTAATAAGGACTAACTGAGACATTCTGTACACAGAGACCTCTAGCCAAATCCTAAGCCAGACCCCATCCAATGCTCACCTTCTCAGGACAAAATTCAGGACTGCTCTGACGCAATTTGCTGGGTCTGCCCTTGATAACCGCATAGCAAAACATTGTTATCACCATCACAAAGAGGAAGTAACTGGTGTGCATGAGATGCAAATTTATTAATGAACGATCATCCTAAAGAGAACAAACCAGAAACATCTGCACTGAGTTATCGAAAGACGTTATGCTGGATTCCTGGAAACAGGGTTCATAATCTCCAGATACACCTCAACTTCAGTTCTTAAACTGGAATAGAAGGTTTCGCCTTTTGTCTTCTAACCTAGTAAAGCTGGATCTCACTAAGTGAGGATATGATGCTCCTGAGACCACCCCCTCCCTACCTCCTAAACAGGCCTCTGCCCTGGCTTCTGCACCCCACACCATCTGAACACTCTCCCTGCTTCCCCTGCCCGGCCTCCTCTCCAGAGAAGGCCTCAGAGACCAGGGCCTTTAAACCCCGCTCTGCCTTAGGACAGCTTCCTCTGACTGTCCTCAGGGTTCATGGCTGACAGCCCAAACCTCTCTTTCTAACCCCTTGCCACCTGTCCACCAGGAAGGCCTCTGATTACTAACTCCTAGAGGCAGCTTCCTTCCTTCTGCCCTTTCTCCCACTTTTACAAGCCCCAGCCTGAAAATATCTTTTAACCTCCAACATGCAATCAACCACCAGGCCCTATTTATTGAGATCCTAGCCAGGCTTCCATCCCTTTTCCTTTCCACATCTGTAGACCTCACAACATCAGCCTTAGGCTCCCTCCCATTTTCACAAATCAGGTGGGCAGGCCAGTCTTGCTAACACACAGCTTTGGAAATCCCCCTACAGCCCCAATGCAGGTGGTGATGGCCCCCTCGGAGGAAAAAGTCTGAAGGCCTCAGGAGAGAACTGAGGCACAACGGCTTTGTAGAGCCTGACCTTTGCCCACCATTCAACCTGATCTCCACTGCTCACTCCTGCAGGCTCCTGGCCTACCAGCTTCTGCAACTTGATAAAAATGAGATGTAAGGAAAGACAAAAGGGCCAGACAAAAAGGAAAGAAATACATCTAACATATACTAGCTGGAAGAAGAGGGCCTTTATGAAAAAAGCCAGCAGAGTCTGTAAAGGTGGGCTCAAGTGTAAACCGGAAGGTAAACTAGCGTGTCACCCACTAGTGTCTTCCTGCCCTTTCTTCCTTAAGCAACATCTTATTCAGTCCTCATCATCTATCAAAAAATTTGTCTCTTCCAGTTTTACTTTTATCTTTCTGGATTCTGAACCACTTTCTAACTCCTCTTGACACTAACCAAATAGCCTCCTGTGAGTGCATGAATAAGACTGTACAAGCATCTCTTATAATCCCCGTGGGTTAGGCACACAACAGCTGCTCAATAAGTAACTGCTGCTGAGCAAAGCAGAAAACAAAGAACTGAAGCAGTTTTCTTAACCAAAAGGGTGGCATGTTTTTCCAAGTCTCCACAACTCCACCTAGTCTTTTAACTCAGCTGTAAATCTAAAATGGCAGGGACTAAGCTAACCCAAACATGTAAACATGGCCTACTCTAACAGTTCCCGACCACACCCACATGCACATATGATTTTTCTCACTTACGTCTGGAACAATAACTGTGAGCTTGGGATTTAAAGCATGATAGACTTTTCCAATGGCCCCCTTATAACACCAGAAAGGATTGTAATCTTGAGCGTATTTTGTGTTGGCATCTCTGGCAGTTGTGAAGATCTTGTACCAGAGTGTGGCGTTGCTGTACGTGTCCGGAACACAATGCGGGGGCTGCCTGCAGGGGAAGAGAGGGAAAGGCGTGCTGGGTGGCCTGAGACATTTCCTGAGACTTCACCACAGCCCCTGACTGACCATAGCCAAACGTGTGCAGAGAAGAAAGAGAAGACATAAATGTTTCTTTGAGAAAAACACTATTATGTTTTTAGTTCAGGGCCTTTTTTTAAAATTTAATAAACAGAGAACAAGAAATAGGCATTTGACATTTAAGAGTTTAGATGTTGGATATCTGGCTTCAGAAGTCAACTCATGATCCTCTCCATATGACATAGCCAAAGAAGAACCTGCTCCTTTTTAAGCCCATTTCCTTAAGCTGTCCAAACTTTTTAGTCGCAACAGAAAGTTTAACATACAAACTTCTCCATCAGATGTTATAACCAATAGCAAATAATTATAACATTATTTAATCTGATAAGCTGATTATCTGATTTTATCCTACAAACTTCCAAATGTCTAAAATAGATAAATACTGGACTAATTATTCTTACTGAAAAAGGATTCACCTTAGGATTTTTAATAGGCTATAATCTACCTTGTGTATTTCATGTATTTATAGAGCATTCTGTCCTTTACAGAAAAAGGAGAGGCGAGAAAAAAAAAAAAAACCTTAAAGGCAAAACAGTAATACAGACAGTTGCTCAAAAATATGAAGCAAAAGTTTCAGAAATAGTAACTGTCTCATGGAAAATAAGGTTTGATTTATGCTCTCAATTTCAAATATTACTCCTTCTGGATAACAGAGATGAACAAAACCTTTATCTTTGGGAGCCTTAACTGTGCGTCATTCTGGCCATGAGATCCACCATTCCTTATCTTTTCTGTGACGTGCTTCTTCTACTAACAGGAAAGACAGCCTAAGAGTAAGCAACAATAACCAATCTTCTTGAGGAACAACTCTCTGCTCTTTACATGTAGAAGTTCTACCTCAGAATTCCAAATTAAACTTAGAGAAGTCCTTAGACCTGGGAAAGTGATGCAATGCAAGCCACCCCGAGAATCTGCTGCTGGAGCATCCCAGTCAGATTCATGGTAAAAGGAGCTTCTCACACACAACCATGGGCTCAGGAAACCACTTACACAGTGACAGGAAACACCCCGGGGTTGGCTGTGAGGGTCATGCAGGCTGTGAACACCACCTGCTCACAGTGACCGTGAAGGGCACAGTCGTCCGAGCTCCAAGCTGAAGGCAGGGTGAAAGTAATGTTTATTTCTTCGTGGGCTTCCTTGCCTGTAGAAGAGAAATTGGGTGCTTTTTGTTGTTGTTGTTGTTAATTTTTTTTTTGTAAATAAAGGCAAGAATCCATATTTATTATTCTCTGGGATTTAAATGTATTCTGAAATCGAACCCACCCAGGATCCTCCTTTCAGCCCACAGAGGGACCCCTGCCTCTGTGGGATTTCAGGAACAACACCAGTTCTGAGCTGGACCCTGAGACGTGCTTCCCGGGCAAAGCCACCAAATGGCACACAGAGAGGGGCTACTTGCAGCCAGGGCTGGGTATGCCATGCGAGAGCCCAGACAATGCCCCAGTTGGAAAGCTGGGGGCTAGGTGAGCTATTATCACTACCGTTTGAGCATCTGCACAGCACCCTTCCATTTTCAAACTGCTTTTATATTTATTACTTCACTTAAAATGTACTACTATTCCATGAACATGACCAAAGAGGTGTTATTACTCCCCCTTTACATATGAGCAGACTAAGGATCAGAGAGTCTGAAAGACTTAAGTAAGGTATGGGACCAGTAAGTGATGCAGCTTACACAAAAACGAAGATATTCAAACACCAGGCAGAGGAGAAAGATCTACTCGCAACATGGAAAACCCAGAAGTTGACCCTTACCTTATTTCCATGGGAGCAGTTCTTACCTGTAGCAACTAACAGGAGGCTGGCAGGCGCTCCCAAGTTCTTTTGGGACTTTAAAAGGTTCTTGGTAAGCTAAGATTATTCTTCTGAGGCCCAGGCCTCCAGCACACAGCCCTTCCTGATTAGCCTAGCTTCCACTACTTTCTCAGCCTTGTCCTGAATCACTTACAGTCTGCCATGGGTTTAGTTCTGAAGAACAGTGTTCAATGTTTAATAGGTATTTTTATTACTATTATTTAAGAAGCACTTATAGGGCTTTTGCTTTGTGCCGAAGAACTGCTGTAAGTGCTTGATAAATATTACTCATATTGTCCTGTCTCTTCCATAATCCCACAATGCCAAAGGGAAGAGACCAGATCTTAAGCTTACTCTAGTTCATTCCAGAAGGCTAGCACAGTGCTGAGCTAACAGTGGACATTCAAAAGTTTGTAGACGAACAGCAATATTTGTACTATGTACTGCAATCTCCAACATGATAAACCTGAATAGATTTTCATGTGTTTGTAGTAGGCCTTACAGTTTCTTTCATGTTTCTCATTCTTATAGGCTTTTTATTAAAAGCCTACTGTACTGAGTACTTCATTAAGTGAAGATGTAGTAGAAACGGTTCCTTCTTGACTTCATTTAGTTCAAACTCAACAAAAGGAAAGACACATGCACAAATAAAAAATAGTCTGATGAGTAAAACTGTACCCTGCTAATACTCTGTCCTGCAACAGCTGTTGCTTGAGAAAGTCTGAAAGAAACTGGCTAACACGTACATACCTGAAAGTCCAATCTGGTGCCCTAAAATGGTCGAGTACAGATGGGTGACATTGCGAGAGTACCCTCCAAAAGGTTTGAGCGGGTCCAGGGTTAGAGTGATTGCAACTGAGATGTTAACCGGGCCTGAATCCTCCAGGGCCTGTGGGGACTGGGTGGACACTCTGGCCTGCCCACTGGTCATTGTGCTTTCCAGAGTTGTGGTGTCATTTGTGAGATGCTTTAATGTTTCATTCTCTGATACACACAAGTCCAAATCATTAAACCGCAGCAAAAAAGTATTCCAATCCTTCAGTGAAATGAAACAGAGAGAAACAAGTGTGAGCAGTCTGAAAGTGCCGCCGCTACAGTCATACAGCCACGACCCTCGAGGTGGCATCACGCCACAGTGGGGACACCACACTTCAGAGTCAATCAATTACAACAACAGCTACATTAAAGCCATCAGGCTCTTGCCCTGGCATAATAGTGTGGTTTTCCAAACCACTCTCATATTCATAGCCTAAAATACTAATTTTTCATTGGCAGGAGATATTAAATAAACTGTGGGATTAAATCAATTTATTCAAGAAAATATGACAGAAAGTAAAACGGCAGATTATACTTACAGAAAATGATTTAGTCTCAGAATCAAACATGAAAAGAAAGCTTGAACAAAATTAGTAAAACATTAAAAGCATTAATCCAAAATCATTTAGCAGTCGCAATTGGTTGTTTAAAAAATAAGGTTACCTCAAAATAATTCCTCAAAAGGTCAATTCTATACACTTTGCTTTCTCTCTTGAAAATGTGAAACACAGTAAATACCAATACTCATGGGACTTTCCCCTCCCTATCATGGACTTTGGATGGTACCTTAGAACAGGAACAACTTCCAAAAGGAGGGGGAAAAGGATGTTCTCAGGTTTCTCTTAGTATCTACACCCTGTATTAATGGTTTAAATCATAAGCAGTTTTAAAAACACAGCCAGCTTATTATGTCATGATTAAATTGAAGCCAGCATAGTAAAGTACCCACCAGGGCTTATTATAATTTTAGCAGAAACAACACCACCACACCTAACCTACGCTGTGACATTCTCCCTAGCAACATTCATCTACAGAAAGCTGCAAATGTGATGACGAAGCAAGTTACACTCTCAGTTACACTCACAATGGCATTAATTAAATGCCATTTGAGCAATCCCTGAGCAGTCATGTGAGTCTACCTCTTTAGCATCAGGAAATAAATCAGTTTATGGTATTTAGTAAGATTGCAACTGGATACATCAAATTTCATGTTCCCTAACACCTACAAACAGCAGACTAATCATTCAAGAACACTGGGCTGAAAATAAACATTCTAGTGTCAACTCTTCATATGCCAGACACTGGGAAACTGAGGCCCAGTGAAAATTACAGACTCTGCAATTCCATAGTTGAATGTGGAATCAGAATTAAGTTTTTTGATTCACAGCCCCAAACATTTCCCACATACCTAGGATCCTCATTTGAAAATAAAATCACTAAATCATAGCCAAAATTTTATAGCATCTGGCAATGTTTTCCTGTAGAGCTCCAGTCCACTCTGAACAGTCTGCCAAAGCATGTCAGGCCCCATTTTGATTTAAGGGCTAATTTTCCAGGCTACATCATAGCCACTGGCCTTGGCCAAGCATTCAACATGGACTCGAGCTCTGAGAGAAAGCAATGCCAGGATGCTGCAGAGTTCTGGTTGTGACCAAAATGTTCACTTCATACCTAATGTGGATACATCCTGTTTAAACAACCTTTAAAGATTCAAGCAGGGTCAGAGAAGGGGGAAAATTAGCCAGCCAGTATGTTTCTTGGTAAGAAATTCTTTGAAAGGGTTTCACGGTAGCAATAGTTAAAACCTGTTACACTAACTGGGTTAGGGAGTTCACGTGCAAAGGTGGTTCCTCCTGCCAAGATCACCTATGATCTAGAATGTCATAGAGCACAAGACAACACCATGACCCCCTTTACACTGAGTAGAACTCTCCTCTTCTTCACAAGGCAGCACACCCAATGCAGCAACAATGCAATTCCAATCTCCACTCCCGTCCCACTCCCAACAACAAACATACCCAAAAAAAAGTGTAAGAGGAGGTATTCAGGGAATCGACTAAAACAGGAACAAGTCTGTCCTGAGAGAAACTTTGTCTACCAATAAATTCACCATATCATTAATTTGGCGTAATTTCTAAAATGTAAAACAAATTTATTAATAGGTAATATTGTCATTCATGTCTATTAAACAAGAACTATTAATTTTTTTGAAATGCAAAAATACACATCATTTTAAATCTCCATTATGAGTGTTCGTACTATTATGTGTCAGGATTAAGGATTAAAGGGCAATGCCCTAATAATTTATTTAAATTGACCAAAATGTAAAATCTAAAAGGCCAATTTTTAGATAAACTAAAGTCTTCCTTGATTAAAAAAACAGACAAATATATTTGGATTAAGATCTGGCTTTCTAATTTCTTTAGGATTACCTATTCATCCAATGAGAAAGTAGCTATATTGCTGATAAAATTCCATGATGATGATATGAGGCTTTAAAATAACACATGTGTACAGTTTTTTAAAACTGCAATAATTTCATACAAATATAAAAGAAGCTAGTTCTCTAGCTTCTTGAGGCAAACATTTTGCAAATATACTTTCCAAAATACCTGATTCATTGCTGAAACAGTCTAACTGAAACTGGTAGCCTCAATAACTATCTGAGTAGATATTTCCTAAGAAAAGGAGACAAAGACAAAAAAATTCTATATACTGACCTTTCTCACTGGGACAAAAAGTCACAACCAAAGAAGAGTGTGTGAAGAGCCCCAAGGTGTTTTTCCCCTCTGTAAGGTCCAGCCAGCCTGAGAGAATTTAGAATATACTATACCTCTGCCATTTCTGGTGACTTAATCTCCTTGATTTTGAAGAAGTAGCCCAAGGTCAGGAAAGCTATTGCCATGGCGCTCACACTGATCATAAAGACCACCAGGGGGGGCCGACTGCTGATGTACAGCTTCAGGTTCTCCAGGGGGTTGATGTTAAACATTATTCTGATCAGCTCCACCTGAAAGGAATTAATCAGAAGACTCATGGACTAACTTGCCAGAAGAAAACCTATGATTCTCACTTTTCTATTTACAGTATTAGGGGGTGAGGAAGTCACTCATTATTGAACTTGAGAAATATTTGGTTATAAATCTTCAAAAGACTAGCAAGAAAAAACCCTAATTGTTAACTGTCATCATTGCCAAATGGTAAGATATTGAATGACAGGCATTCCCTTTTGGTTTAATCTTCTAATTATTCTATAATGAACATCTGACATTTGTTACTCTCATGTAACTTAAAGGAAATGTTTAAGTAGGTCAGTAATATGATACAAATACATGCCAACGCATACAAAACTAACTTGAGGATGCTCTTATTTCCTACCACTGAAAGCTGAATACTATCTACTCAACATTCTGTCCTGTTAACTTCCATACTCGCACCCATTCTGGCACTAGACATAGAGAGGCACTCAATAAATACTGCATTTTATCACTGCTCTGCTCAAAGCCCTCCTAAGACTTCCCACTGGGTCTAGGATGAGGTCAGTGACAGTTCTCTGTCATGGCCCACAGAGTTTCAAAATCCGGAAGTCCCGCCAACTTCCCCTTGTCCTTTACTGGCTTTGGCCATACCGGCTTCATTATTTTTCAGGATGACCTTTTCAATTTCTGCCAGGAAGTCGTCTGCGATTTGAGAGAGATAGCACTGAATCTACGTAACAGCTTGATTAGTATTGCCACCTTAACAACACTGTCTTCCAGTCCATGAACTTGGGATAGCTTTCCATTCATTTAGGTTTTAATGTATTTCAACAATGTTTTGATATATTTCAACAATGTTTGTACTTCTTTTGCTAAATGTATGCTAGTATTTTATTCTTCCTGGAATCGCTGAACATGTTCTAGTTGAAGGCTTCTTACCACTGCCTGGAGTGCTTTCGCTAAAAATCTCTATGGATTTGCTCCTTCTGAAAATGCAGGGCTCCACTCATAACTCCTCAGGGAGGCCTTCCCTGACCACCCTCAGGACCTAGCTCTCAGTACCCTGCTTTAGTTCCTTTACACAGTTTAGTGCCAATCAAGAGTATAATTATCTTTCTACTTGTTTATTGTCTCTCGTTCCTCATCTTTGAGCTCCAGGACAGCAGAAGTTTTGTCCAGTCTTGTTTATTGTTAAAATCCTGGTCTCTGAACCCTAGAACAGTAGCTGGCATGTCAATGAGCACTTACATATGTGAGCAGACTATACCACCACATTTAAAAAGCAATTCAAAGAAAAATCTACACTAGCTTTTAAATTTGAGGGGAAAAGATGCATCAATAGCTTCTAAGAACTAGTAGCAACCACTTGCAATAGGCCAGGCTGTTACTGGTTTGTCCTCACAAGAATCCTTGGAAATGGAAAAAATAGACTTTCCCCTCTCCCTAGAGGCAACCCCAGTTCTTCAGTTGGCAAGTACCATTACCTATGCAGGTTCTGTATACTTTTAGTACATGTGTATATATAAACAGATACAATTACTGATGTGGGGAAAATAACCCACTATATATCTATCCCTGTGCTATTTTCACTCAACATTCTGTTTCTGAACAGGTAAATTCAAAGGACTAGATCTACATACATCAACAGATAAATCTCAGAAACAGGATACTTCTTCCCACTGTTACCTAACTCACAAAGGGCACTGCAGCAGGCACAAGAATGGCTCTAGCACAACTAAGTCACAAGAGCAGGGTCGTCTACAATGGTCACACTGCTCTCCAAGCAAGTTGTACCAAGGAACTTCCCCAGCGATGAAGGAGCTTGCTTTATTTCCCAACATTCGTGCCAACACTTGCTATTCCAAGGCACGTGGATTTGGGCCAAAATAGACGGGAAATGTTATTTCACCATTATGTTAAATTGCATCTCCGTGAAACCAAACTTCTTTATCAGCCATTTAGATGTCTTTCTAGGTGAACTGCCTGAATCTTTGTCCATTTACTAGTAAGATGTCTGTGAATTTCTTACTAATGTTAGGAGTTCCCTTCGTATCCTGGATACTGGGTCTTTACCAATTGCATATGTTGTATACAACTACTCCACATCTGTGGATTTTCTTTAATATGGTTTATGGTGTCTTTTGCCATATGAAAGAGTCTTGATTTTTTTTTTTAAACAGCTTTATCAAGATCTATTTCACCTACCATACAATTCACCCATATAAAGTATACAACTCAATTCACTGAATTGAGCAAACCATCACTATAACCAATTTTTATACATTTTCATCATTTCACATAGAAAACTCATACCTTGTAGCAAGTAACCCTTTATTTCCCCTAGCTGTCAGGTAAGCACTAACGTACTTTCTGTCTCTATAGATTTATCTATCCTGGACATTTCAAATAAATGAAATATATGTGATCTTCTGTGACTGACTGCTTTCACTTAGCATCATGTTGATTCATCCATGCATCGTATTATCAATAATTCATTCATTTGTAATGCCAAAAATACTCCATTGCATGAAGTATTTTATTTATTCATAAACATCATTTATCCATTCATCAGTTGATAAATATCTAGGTTTCCACATTTCAGCTACTATGGACATGTTTTCATTTGTCTTGGTCATATACATAGGAATGTTTCTGCTGGGTCATATGATAACTATGTTTAACCTTTTTAGGACCTCCCAGACTTTTCCAAAGTGACCACCCCATTCTGCATTCTCACCAGCAGTGTAATGAGTGTTCCAATTGCTCCACAACCTCACCAACACTTATCATTTCTTACCATCCATCCTAGAGGGCGTGAGGTGGTATCTCATGGTAGCTTGATTTGATTTTCCTGGACAGTTATAAGTTCTTTATTTTAATATATTTAAATGTATTACCCTTTTCCTTTTATAGGTGTATGTATATGTGTATATTATTTAAGAATCTCTTCCCACCTTTGTATGCTACTACGTTTTTGTTGTTGTTTTCCTCTACAAGTTTTATAGTTTTACTTTTAGCTTATCTGCTTGGAATTGATTTGGAAGTCCATAATCAGGTAGGTTTCTAATTTAATCTTTTTTTTTTTTAAATATAAATGGCCAATTGTCCAATACTATTAAACTTGGTTTTGTATTGATCACAGATTTCCTGTGGATCTGTAATGCCATCTCTCACATGTTTCCTATGATAGCATAGTGGGTTTATTTTTCAGCCTTTCGTGTTCCAGTGCTATATATGTCTCACTCTACCTCAGTACCATGCTATTTCAAATCTTGCTATCTACCACAAGAAGTGTTCCATTTTACTGTTACTATTCAAAACTGTCTTGTCTATTTGTGGACTTTTACTCTGCCATATGGATTTTAGGTTCCGACTGTAAAGTTCCTAGAAAAATCTTGTTGAGATTTAACCTCAAATTGAATCAAATACACTATTAATTCAGGAAGGGAATAATATGTTTGCAACACTGTGTTTTCTAATCTATGAACATGGTATCTCTTTCTGTTTGAATCTACTTTTTCAATTTTTTAAAAAAATTTCTTTTATGTATCTTGTTAGGCTGATTCAAAGACATACTAACTTATGTAGCTATCATTGATAGTATCTTCTAAAAATTACATTTTCTATTGTTATTAGTTCATACAAAAGCAATGGACTTTGTAGCATGGACAAGTGCAGGAGCAACTCTACAATAGGCAGCAGACCCTTGCTGACACAAGTAGAAACCAACTTAACTCTTAATGACTGTATCGTGTTTGGCATAGTGAAAGAAAATCTGATGGAACCCCAAATTCAGGGGCTAATATTTCCGGTACAGGAATTTTCTTCCACAAGACTTCTGCTGAGTAAATAGTGCCTGGGGACTTTGTCTGGAAAATGGAAAAAGATCTTGTAAACCTGCAATGCTTACATCCAAAAGAAATTTAAAGAAACAACGGTGCAGAATTTCCACAAAATGGGTGAAAAATATTAACCACACATTCAAGCTTACCAGACGCTAAGCAGGAAAAATAAAGAAAAGTACTCTTGGTACATCATAGCAAAAACTAAAGGAAAATCTTATAAGCAACCAGAGAAAAAGGATATATTATAATCAGGGTAAACACAAATGACAGCTGGCTTCTCATCAGAAAGAATGAAAAGAATGAAAGGCATCTTTAAAATGCTAAAGTTAAAAAAACAGTAAAAGAAGATCTTTGGGCTGGAGAGACAGATTGTAGATAGAAGCCCAGATTTTCAAGAACTAAGGACACTACAAAGAGTAAATATATGGGTAAATACAGGGTGGGGCAAAAGGAGGTTTACAGTTAAGAGTACACAAAACAGAATTATCCTTGTGTTATTATTATTGTATTATTTTCCATTCAAACAACTGTAAACCTACTTTTGCCCCACCCTGTATAAGACATTTATACATGTATAAAAATAATATTGACTATAAGGAAAAGTGGCATTTAAATAAATAAGGGAAAGATGAATTGTTTAATAAACAGGGTTGAAACTGCTAGAAAAAATTACTTGTTCTAAAAAAAAAACAAAAACAAAAACAAATGACTCTTACAGCCTGATCTAGATTCCAGACACTTTGCTGAAATCTTTTAAATTCTAATTAGCCTTTTTGAAGCTTCTTTTGGATTTTGTGAAAACAGCCCTATTGTTTGCAAGCAATAACCATGTTTCTTTCCCCCCAGCTCATTTTTTTTCTTTTTCTTACTTCTCTGACTAGAATCTTCTGTGAAATGATGAATAAGAGTGGCAACAGTCGGAATCCTTGCCTCATTCTTGGCTTTAAGGGAAATGCTTCAAGTGCCTTACTATTAAATGTGGTTTATGTCAAAGGTTTCTGATAGATATCCCTCACCAAATTTTTAAAAATCCCCTTTTTCAAGTCTGCAAATGTATTTTCATTTTAAATATATGTGGCATATTAATAAATGCTTTATCTGCAATCTCTGAATAATTTATTTTTTTCCTTTAATCTGTTAACAGGAACTATGTTAATTACTGTTTTTATGTTGACTCACTTGTATGC